TCCTTTATCAGTGATGCTACTTCTGAAAAATGAAAGCAAGGATTATGTTTGCAAATATAATTCAGTATATACATTCACACTAAAAGGGGAGATATTTATATATACACCCACATATATTTACACAGACGTATATAAATATGAGTCGGCAACTTCACTATTAACATGGGCAGAAAATTAATAAGTATATCCCTTTCTTCCTCATACCCTCCAAAATCTTTAATCTTATAAGAAAGCTTAAAATGAACTTAGCTAATTGAACTGTAATAGAATAACCAATAATGGGATACCGAGTATATATTTCAGTGTATGAAAAAGCAGCCTTGTTCCTCTGTTCAGCTACAAAGAATTTAATCTAAAGCATTGTGATGATAGCTTCATTAATCTCTCCAAAAACAAACAAACTGCTCCTCGGCTCAGTCACTGCCCAGGACTGTGTAACCTATACTAGGAAAGGCTCCACCAGACAGCCGTGGACAGGCTCCTGGCATGAGCTCTCTCAGATGATTTACACAGGCCAAAATGACAAGGAAAAACGCATGACTCATCTCGAAATTAAACTATTATAACGAACTTGTAAAGGACAACCTTTACATTCATAAGTACCTTTCTCTCTTAAAACTTTTAACAACAAGAAACTGGTAACAGAATTAAATAAAACACCTACTCGTTTTCCAGGTCTCTCTGCTCTCCTGTGCCAAATTTTAACATAAATGGGTAGAATTTAATGCAGCCTATCGCTTACCTAACATAATTATATATTGTGTTTTACATGGTTTCAAAACGGATACATTGAAATGATCCTGTCTTGGCTCCTTCCCACTAAAGTCAATAAAGGTTATGAAGGCCAACTGCCATATTAAACGCACTGCTATCCCAGCACGAAGAACTGTCAAGACAGGAAATGCAATTCAAAACATTCAAAATGATCAGGATTCTACTCTTTTCTTCTAAAAGAAAGAAGCACTAAAAAAAAAAAAAAAAAGAAGAAGAAGAAATTTCTCTCTAGTATATCAATCATCAGTACTTCTGAAAATGTTTACTCTGGAAATTATTCTAGAATATTTCCATTGGATTATACTAAATTGACCTTTTGTTTTTTAAGGTCAAAGGGAAATGAATAAATGTCATCAATTTAGAGGACATCACACCTAGCATTCTTTCTCGTATCATTGTGAATTTGATGGTGTTAAAACGTTTTTATAGGTAAAATAAATGTCAGTTTTGCAAAGTGCGATACCAGACCCTGAGAGACAAATGGCCTATCCATTGAATCTCTGGCTACAGCAAGACTTCCTCACCTCACAGGAGACTTTGGCTTTTCATATTTCTCTTCGCCCAGAAAGCAAAGCTTGTACAGTTTCTTTCAAATGGTAACTCTCTCTTATCCTGAAGAGTCACCTCATAATACACTAATCTTGGTTGTGAGGTGGTGGGTTGGTTTAAGAAAATAAAATAAAATACAAATATCTGAATAGCGTTCCAGGGTTATAATAATACCATCCTGAACAGGGAGCAAAGATGAGAAGAAAAGGTAAGCCTAAAGTCTTAGGTTATACGAAAGGGTTGTGCTGCTTTGGGCTTAATGGCTCATAAATTCATGAGGTAATATTCAGGGAAAATGTGATATTTTATCAGAATGTCATTCAAATATAAGGTTTAACATTTACATCACAAGAGCAAGCACAGAGTAAAACTATCCTGGCGGGGGGGGGGGGGGGGGGGGGGGGAGTGGCGAGAATAAACAATGTGTTAAAGACAGTGCTTGCTGGAACAGAGGATGGAAAGCAGAGGCTAGGGGAGTTTTAGACGCAGTGGACTAAACGTTCTGAAATATGTGACTGGTTATGACATGTGAAGAAGCAATTACCATTAAGGGAAGAAATGCGATTGCAAAGCTCATTTTCCATTCTTCTGTATCCAACCTGAGACTACACCTTCCAACCACAAAGTGGTGGGAAAAATAAAAGGAACACCGAGACAGAGAGAAATCACACCACCAGTCTCTTCCCTGGTACAAGGGCCGTCAGAGGTTGCTTTACTCATAAGCAAAAGGTGAAAAGTAATGTACATACTGCCTGAGGTTTTTTTGTTTTGTTTTGTTTTGTTTTCACCAAAAGAGATCGATACTATGGTGCAGAACGGACAAAATACGTTAATTACAGAAGTCTTTCCACAACACACACATGATTTTACAATTAAAAAAAAAAGCACAGAGATAAAGAAGAATCATTTGTCTAAAAGGATAATACTTTTGAGTAATATATTCCCTGGAAGCAAAGTATGTTCAGAAATGCTGTTCAGATTAGTCTAATTCTACAGAATCCAAATGTGCACCAAACACTGCACTTTTTATGTTAAATTGCTGTTGAATTTGTTAACCCACAACTGATTTCCTGTGTTATGGAATCTTGGAGATTACAGCTAACTTGAAGCAACAGGGATAATTCTTGACAGTTAATGGTACGTTTGTACGCATTTTCCTCAAAGGCCAGCATCTTGAAGCCTCAAACTGGTGGCTCAACATTGCCCCCTACTGCTTGCAACTGAGAACATGGGAGGTGGGCTGGTACAAAGCAGGAATTCTAGGCGCCCAGTACCAGCACCGCCCCCCCAGTACACAAATACCAGACGGCACTGCACTAACAGAGCCACAAGAACCATAGACTTTACTTTCCCAAATGATCATTATCTTCTGTCTCTTCCAATAGCAAAAATAAACTATTATGAATTTGTTAAAGGTCATTTAAAGAGGCTTGAAGCCATGCTTAAATTTAATTTGGAAGCATCATCCCTTTTATCTTGGCCCAAACCTTCACTCAGCTGATAATGATCACCCTGAGGCTGGCTGAGGAGAGACACTGGGGCCATTGATTTCACTCAGAACACTCAGTAATGCCACACCAACTGCAAGGAAACTCGCTCTGGAGCCCTCCCAAGATTGTTCTTCTTGGTATTTTTTGCACAAGAGTCATAAAGTAAACAGATGATATTCCAACTAACTAATGTGCCATGGCCCGATTAAAAAAAGAAAATTATAACTAAAGCTTTTACATGAATTCATAATGAATGTAATCAGTAAGTTCCCAACACCAAACACTACTCTTCAGAAGAAGAAAAAACAAAACAAAACCTTGAACAAAAGCAATGCAAAGAATTTTTTTTGAACAAAATCAATGAGTTCCTTTCTTATTTATTTGCCAATTCAAATTTTCTAATCTGCGGAGTTGTCAAATTACAATCCCAAAGTCAACCTGATGTCTTAAGAGTCAAAGTCTGGCAAATAAAGAGGTTCTTCTAACTCATATGTAAATGGACAAAACCAGAATAACACAGTAAAAAATGCCCTGAAACTGAAGCTGCCTTTATATATACATCCCATAAAAATGGAGCATACACCACACAGCCTAGTTTTAGGAACAGAACTAAGGAGATTAAGGCATGGACTTTTCATTACCTCCAACTCAGTTTTACAATGCTCAGTTTTACACTGAGACTCAGGTCTTTGGAGGAACCCATTTTTGTGATACTGTTAGTACAATAAAAGGAGGATTATAACATTCCTTCCTCAGACATATGTCCATGAAAAGGCATGATTTAAAGATCTGAGGAGATGTCTGGAAAGCAAGGACTTCCGGATTCTGACGTAGACTTTCAAACTAAGACCCCTTCAGGGTTGTGACTTGATATTTTCATTATTATAAAATAGGGGTGAGCACCAGCTACACATTTTTGCAGACCAGTTCACTGTTTCCAGTACATTTCCAAGTCTGGGCAGTGGTACTACCTCTAGAGTTGGGCAGGCTTTTATCACTTTTCCACTACGTTCCCAAGTCAATGGTTTGGAGGCAGGACAGTGAGGCAGTGAAGGGCATGACCCTAGAGCCAGCCTTCCTGAGTTCAAATCCCAGGTCCCCCACTTCAAGGGCTGTATGATCTTGAGGAAGACCTTTTGTGGTTCAGTCTCCTGATTTATGAAATAGAGAACCATCAATACCTACTTCATGGGGTTGTCATAAAAGTTAAATAAGTTATATATAAAACATTCGGAATAGTGCCTTGTAATTCGTAAGTATCACATAAGAGTCTGCTATTATTACTAGTATTTATTTTTTTTTATTACTAGTATTTAAATTAAGACAATTCAAAACTTGCAAGTGGCCTCAACTCTCCCTCCAGCCACACTTCCGACTACATCCCCTGACTCCTTGCTCCAGGGCACGCTGTCCTTCCCCACCTGCCATCCTGTTAGTACACTTCCTGGAGCCTGATGTTCCTCTGCAAATGCCCTATCTGACCCTACTCCTCCCCATCCAAAGTCCCCAAAAGCCACATCTGCTGTTGCACAACAGTCCGGGTCCAGTGCTCTGAATTTAATACTCCCTCCTCTGGACCGTGATTTTTTTTTTTTTTTTTTAAATCTCTATTACAGGCTTTCATTTTAGCTAATGTAACACCTGGCTACATTCATGTCTCTCTCCTTGTTAAACTGAACGTCGTGGTTAAGAGCACAAGCCACACGACCAGACAGCCTGGGTCCCCATCTTGCTCAGCCACTCGCTCTCTGACCTTGGGGGCAAGGCACTTAATTTCTCAATGTCTCAGTTTTCACATCTATAGATTAAGATTCGTAAGAGTTTCTACACTTCATAGGGCTGTTGTATGAATTTCAGAAGTTAATCCGGGGAAAACCCTTAGAACGGCGCCTGGTGAGTCTGAAAGGGCAAATGAATTTTAAATCTTCTTGCTGCACGGCTGTTCCCTCCACGTCACTTCCTAGCATGTGTTCAACATGGTGCCTGGTATGTTGGAAATACTCGATAAAACACTCACTGAACTAAACTGAGCTTCTACGGACAAAATTGGGGCTGTTCCTTACCAAGAGTTACCTGACTTAATAGTTTAGAATAATGAATTATGTATTTCCCTATGCAAATTAGGCAGCAGAGGAGTCACAGAGCAGAGCATCCCAGAAAATATGGTCCCGGACCTCACGTACTTACCACGCCTTCCATCTTCTTCCACAGTCCTTCCAGTTGAGTCATGGGTTGACACCACCAATCAGTGCACTTTCTGTATCGATTGCCTTGAAACCAATACTGTCGCAGCCACTCGAACTCGACCTGGGGACCATAAGGAGAAGGCAGTTGTTATAATGCCCTCGTGAGGGACAGTCAAGGACAAGAAGGTCGTCACTCGATTCTCCTCCAGTCACTTAATTGCCACAGGGTGAGAAAAGGTGAGAAAAGCTCAGCCTAACCAGTTTTCAATATAACTTGGAGTCTCCAGAGCATCTCTGCAAAGCCAAGAAAAGAGCAGTCTTAAAACAGGTCTTCTTAGCGAGAAAACCTAGCTTAGGGTGGGGAAGGGTTTTCCATCACGTTTATTAGTCATACGTGAGGAAACTCTATGTTCATCAACAAATCCTGAAAAAAAAACTTAATTAATAAAAATAAATTTTACCAAAAAAAGCAAAACAAAACACAAATACTGAGATCCTAAAGTATACAGCAGCCTGCACTCTGTAGGGAAGATATGATCAAAATCAGTTTCTTTTAAACATCTTTATTAAAGACTAGTACTTAGAGCAAAACACAGACACATATTAAGAGATACCAATTTCAAGTTCCTTAAATTTAAAACCAATAAAGAATTTACTATGGGCCAGGAGGGCCTGGTGAGAATCCTAGCCCTTATAACGAAATAATACAAAGTTAATTGTAGGGGTGTGTATTAAAGTTACAGGCATTCAAATTGTTACTTTTCAACTCAGGGCACATGATAATAGGTAGAAAGAACAGCAAAGACATTAATAATTGCTTTTCCTTCCTATGAACTTACTATGGTTATTATTATGGTTATTATTTGCCGCCTTAGCATTCCTCCTTCTATTCTAGCAAAACCCCGCTATTCATTTGGTAACTGGCCCCCCTCCCCAGTCCCAGTCCATGTGGTCTGGGGAGAGCTCCAGCCCCAATACCAGGGGTGGAGTGTGCCACCCAAGTGTCAGCCAATCAGCCCACCACATTTCTCTAGTCACTGAATCGGGTATGGGGGCAATCACCGTATGTTCAATCACAGTAAGTCTGAAGACTGAGAAGATTCAGGAAGAGCATTCCACAACCATTTTGCCACAAATGGGGAAAATGGAGACAACAAAGTAGGAAGCAATTGCAAGATAAAAAGATAAAAACCACATGGTGATACCACCTGGCCCTTGATCAAGCTGTTCCTGAAGCCTTTTCTACTTAAGCCAATTCAGGCTGAGTTTTCTGTCCCTTGCAACTGAAACAATCCCAACATATGTAGATGAGAGGCTGAGTAAAGTTTTGGAAGGGTAAGAAACTGTTTTCTATCCACTTCCCATATATTCAAAAACTCATCTTCAACTTGAAAAGAATCAAATTTTATTGTCAAAGTACAAGTCTATTCATCCCCCAAACTCTTTTTACCTCTGCCCTCTAAAGAAGTGTAGAGCTTTCACAGCTTAATGTTGGGTCATCTGACTTTGCTCAGGTAATCGTGTTCCCTACACAGACAAACTATTATAATCTTTACCTGTTACCACAAAGAATTTTTGTGTTTATCCATATTGAACTTTCATGAGGCAAACAAAAGCAACTTGTGAAGATTTAACAATGGTGAAAATGGCTCAAATAACTAACCTGAGAACACCCAGTCATATGAAAGGATTTTAGTTTACATTAACCAAATGTTTGTTTGATATGTAGGACTGATCTCAGTTAAAGCTGTTTAAACAACAAAAAAAAAAAAAAAAAGAATGTAGACAATATTAAGACAATAGTTGCTGAACCTTATCGGTGGTATTAAGAGACAGTTGTAAACTTGACTGCTTTGAAGGGAGAGCGAATACAAGTGTAGTTCAACTCTGAAGATACAGGTTTAACAACATTATTTATTACAAAATGACTTACTTTTAAGAGATTTTGCATGAAATGTGTTCACGCTACAGGAACAGCCTATCAGCATGGCATCACGCCCTATGTCAGGGAGAGCTGAAAAGATTTTAAAAGGTTTTCCTATCTTGAGGCCAGTCATTTCCATTGTTGAGGACACTGTGGTATCCCACGAAAGAAAATCGATTATCCTATGTAATTAGTTCATTCACCTATTAGGGTCTAGATTTCAGGAACTTAAAACTCAGAAGGCACTATTTTAATTTTTTTTCGTCCCTAAACTGTGGGGATCAGAAAGGAAAAGTTGCTGGGTGGATGCTGCCTAAAAGCTGAAGGATCAGGATTCAGAATAGAAGGGAAGCCTGAATTTCTTCAGGGCTAAAAAATAAAAAATAAAATAAGTAGTAAATAAATCAAAGGCCAACCATAGCAACTGACCAATAAAGTTCTAAGCATGCTAGGAGTACGGTCTCCACCCCTTTTCCAGGGTATGGTGCCGCCGGGGAGCTCATAACTATCAGAGCAGAAATAAGAGACAAGCCATCAGGAGGGCTGCAGCTGACGTGAGGCCAAGGACACGCCATGGGTGACGCAGATCCCCAAAGATGTGAGCCTCAGGGAGACAACACACAGGAACTCTCTTGAGGTTCTCTCGGACTTCACAATGCTTATGAACCAAACTCCCAGATTTTGGACATGCCCTTAAAGGAAATTCACTATGATACAACCTTTGGTCCAATGCAACACAAAGGTAAGCAATGCCCCCAGGTATTTACCCAAAGCCTACTGACAACCTGGAGGCCTTGCAGGTTCTTGAAGGGCCGACTGAATGATCAGAGAAATATGCAAATATGTCCACAACAGTGTCAGCTTCATAACTGACTCGGAAAACCATCTCTTCAAAGCCTCATAACTAACCTGTACCTGGAACAATCTAAAAGATCTGCCAAGAAACACTCTTCTTCTAAAAGATGTTTAAGAAAAGTCTGAAGGGGAAGAAACCTGCCTACCTGAAACCTTAGGCATTCGACAGTAAAGTTCAAAATCACATTTATGAGCTACTGCATCACCATATATTGTAAATCATTTCCATTCTCTTACAGGTAAAGCAACTGTCACCTACTTTTCTTCTGCCAAGTTAGTGGGCTCTTGGTTTGGCCCCAGCTCAGCTCACGCAGTTCCCTCATGAGATGCGGGAGCAGGCCCACTGGGGTTAATGTCTCACTGTAATAAGTGAAATAAGTTATCTCACTGAGAAAGATGTGAGAGCAGGGAGAGATGCTAATGTCCAGTGTACAAAGAGCCACACTTCAAAGGCCCTTTCAAAGTAACTTTAAAGAAGATGCAGGTTTGACCAGACCCAAACTGTTTTTAAGAAGGAAAACAGAATATTTAAAAACATGCAGCAAGATTCTGCTTCCGACTGGGAAAAAAAAAAATCTTTGCTAAGCATCTTAAATTAGGAAAAAATTGCTTAAGGTATTCAGTTCTACTCCCCAAAGTTCCCAAATCGCTTAGTTAGAAAGCATCTAAGGAAAACAAGCCACTTCTACACCCACATAGCCTGAAAGCCTGCAGCACATAAAACCAAGGGCTTCGTCCTATAATTGGTGCAGCGAAGGCACATGGCTTTTAAGAAAGAGGAAAGCAAACAATAAAGAACCCGAGGGAACTATTACGGACATGTGTGCTATTGCTTAACAACGGAACCCAGTGGAAAGGCAGCATACCAGTGCTCCGTCCCAGGCCAGCATGTATGGCCGAAGAGTAGTATCTGCCGATAGGCCTTGACATACAGAATTCATTCTTTAAGGGGATGGCCTTGAAGAATCAAAGGCTGGGGGGATGGACAAGAGGAGCACGCAAGCTATTCAGATTCAAGATCTCTCTCTCCCTTCAACCCTAGACCAGTCTCAAGGGGCTAAGGCTTCTGATATAGCTCTATCCCACTTTGCTAACATATACAATGACCAAAGCAGCCAGTTACTTTCTGAGACTAATGGGTTCAGATGACAATATTCTACTGTTAGATAAACAGGGTGATTGTTACAGACCGCCCCACCGGTTGACGATAGCAAAACATCTCGGGGTGCCTGGGTGGCTGAGTCGTTAAGCGTCTGCCTTCGGCTCAGGTCATGATCCCAGGGTCCTGGGATCGAGCCCTGCATCGGGCTCCCTGCTCGGCAGGAAGCCCGCTTCTCCCTCTCCCGCTCCCCCTGCTTGTGTTCCCTCTCTCGCTGTGTCTCTCTCTGTCAAATAAATAAATAAAATCTTTAAAAAAAAAAAAAATCTCAGTCAGAGAAGAAGACCAGAAGGACAGGGGGCAAAAATAGGCCAGCTAAGTATTAAAGAGAACACCCATTCTGCTAGCCTGAATCTTAACATTGCAAAGTTTGTAGAGAAGGAAAAGACTTACATTTCCAGATTAGAATTTCTTTACTACAAATACGGAGAAAGACATAACTTTGCTACCAAGTCTAATTTCAGTGAGGTCACCAGGCCCATAAATGCTTATGTCTCTCCAAGTTCTAGCTATCAACAATGTCTCTAGCAAGGACAAAGAGGAGAGAAAATGGGACACTTATCAGGCACAAGGAAGGGAAGAAAGTCAGTCCTGAGGTGCAGCTTATGAGCATCAGAAGTGTTGCTTATAAGGAAGAATTTCTTTGCCTTTGGTTCTAGAGATTATGGCAATGTTTCACAAAGTGTGGAGCAGTTCATAAGATCCTAAATATCTCTTTAAAGACATTAGATGATATTGTGGGAGCAGACACTGTTTCTCCTCTGCTCCAAACCCCTCAGTTGCTCCCCATTTCCCTCTGAGTAAACGGGAAAGTGGTTGTCCTTATAGGGACCTCCAAGGACTGATACGACCTGCTGCCTTCCAGTCCCCTAATACCACCTCTGTGACCTCATGTCCCCTAACTCACAGCCCCACTCCTGCCATTCAAGTCACAATGGTAGACTGTCCCTTACCTAGTCTGGAAACACCAGGCATTCTCCCACATCACAGATTTTGCGGTGGCTTCTCCCTCTGCCCAAATGCTATTCCCCAGATACCTACATGGCTCACTCCTCAAGTCCTTTAAGCCCCTGCCCGTGGCACATCTTCTCAGTGGGAATGTTTTCTAGCTCTCTTAGTCTCACATACTACCAGATGAACAGATGCCTTAAGTTTATTACTTGTCATCTCCCTACACTAGAACGACTGTTTTACTTCCCAGTATATCTTAAAGTACACAGAAGATACCAGACACAAGATCAGTCATTACTTGTTGAAAGGACGAAAAAGAACGTTTTCATATCCTGAATTCTCCATCAATCCTTCCAATTCTAGCAAAGAGAAAGTCGCCGGCTGGTGATAACCTTCAACAGTTCTCTAGCCCTTGGGAAGCTCCTTTTCTCCTTTTAATGTTTTTTGTTTTGAGGTATAATTTACCCATGACAAAATTCACCCATTTGAAGTATAACATTCAATGACTGTTAGAAAATGCATGCAGTTGTATGCAAATCTCCCTTCTCCCAGGGATAATGGAGACTTGAGGCTCGGAGCCTCCTCCCAGCAAAAGCACCTGCTGGAAGGTGGTAACACTGCTCTGTTTTCACCGGCGAGATTTCTCTGGTTCCTTTTTCTTTTGCCTAGTGATACTGGCTTCTACTTAAAGTGGTAATACAAAGCCTCCTTTTCAAAGAAATGTATTTACATAAAAAATGAGCTGAGTTATGGGGCACCTGGGTGGCTCAGTCAGTTCAGCATCTGACTCTTGATTTTGGCTCAGGTCATGATCTCGGGGTCATGGGATCGAGCCCCGAGTCGGGCTCTGTGCTCAGCGGGGAGTCCACTTGGGATTCTCTCTCTCTCCCTCTCCCCGCTCTTTCTCTCTCTCTAAAATAATAAATAAATAAATCTTTTTAAACAAATGAGCGGAATTTTTAGAAGTCTTAAGTAGACCACAACATGGATGGTCCAAAGATAAAGAAACAGTGGAAAGGGTGTTACTGAGAGCAGGAAAGTTTGTGAAACCCTGGATGGCGGGATCCTGCTGGTCTGACTGCAGAACTGCACCTCATTTTGTAAATAACAAGCAAGGCACTGACACTTGCTCTTAGGGCCCACCCATGATCCCCCTGGTCTTTGAGGGAAGACTACTCTTCATGAGTCTTGTGCTTCTGCATGTCTTGTGAGCAAGGCACTAACTTCCCTCCACCTCAGCCTCCTAGTGCAAGAATGTTTGGTAGCGGAAACAACCTTATAAGATATAGTTTCTCCTCCAGAACAAAGGGCAGGGATGCTAACAGCCTTGGAGGATAAAGACGGTGTCTGGTTTGGAGCAAAGGTCAGGCATGCTCACTACCTATTATAAAAGATTCAGCTTCCCTCGGCTCAAGTTCCTCTCCTGTAACACAAGCCCTGCATGCGCCCACATTATGGGCCCACTTTGCATTGTCCTGCGGAGAGAGAGGCTTACAGAACTGGCACAAAAATGCGGATACTCAGGCTACTGCTGTCGTTGTAGGTAATTAAACTGTTCTTTGTCTCTCACTGAGGAATTTCAGGGCTCATACCCATATGAAATTACGGCAGATCAACTTGTTAGCTCGCAAGTAGCCTCCCAGTTCTTGAAAAGTCTCACCTCGTTGTGGATTTCTTCTCCTTGTTTCAGAACTGCAGGCTCGAAGGATTTCAAAGAAACATCACCATTATCCACCTCATTACGGACATTCTGCAGAGCCAGCTGGCAGCGCTCTAAGATATAATCCAAGGTTCCGGTCGAGCACTGCAGAGACAGAACCAGCATTCAAGACTGTAAGCAAAATCCAAGTTTACCATACAATGCTTCCTGGGGATGTTCACACTTGTCCCTTTTCCATACATTCACCTGTTGCCCCCACAGCTCAGCCCATATTCAACTTAAGAATCACTATAGGGGCCTGCTCCCTGGGCTCTGGGCTTAGCCTCACTTGGGCCACTCTCCTTGCTGATTTTCTTTTATGATGTGGGCCTTATGTCACTAAACCGTAGGCTCCCTGAGGCTAAAACCATGTATGTACATGTATGTATATATACATGTATACACACACACACACACCATTTTATTACATATATTTTTTCTACAGATACTGCAGTATCTAGAACCAAGTCCTAAATGTAAAAGAAACGTAGTAAGTAGTTTTTGGATGAATAACTAATCAACCAAGAAGTCAAAGACACTGACTTTGTTCTAAGTGCCCTGAACTTAACAAAGGGAAAGAAAGGTAATCAAAATGATCGAATCAACAGCCCACAAAAGGGAATAGTAACGGCGGGAAAAAAAAAAGAAATTGAAGTTATAAACACAGGGCAAAGAACTCATTTTCCTTTTCTGCAAAAACCAAGCAGCTGCAGTCCTTGGCAGAATAGGTTCTTCAAATAATGGAGAATATGTGGCTCATGCCCTCAAGGCATGTTCAAAGGCATAACTTAGTACCTTGGTATTGGCAAGGGCACAGGTAACTAGTTCATCCTTCTCTTTGTGTGTGGGAGCAAAACAGAGGTCAAATGGACAACTCCTCCTTTGAATGATATATGTCAGAAAAGAAAAGAATGCAGACGGAGTGTGCCTCTATTGGTTTTGATGACAACATGATTTCCTAGAATGATAAAAAGCAAGCTATAAATACCCTTCCGACCCAATGAGGAAAATGTATCCCTAAAGTGTTTCTCTTTCGACATATATAATTTAAACAGATCCCTTAGAAATAACCTTGAAGGCTAATGCCCTGGTATAAAAATTCTTTCTATGGTTACTGCCATTTTACACAATGTGTCACGGATAAGCCTGGGAAAAACAAAGTTACGGTGCCAAATACAGAAGCCTGACTAATGCGTATTTTAATATGAAGATCTCAGAGTGCTGGGAGCACAAGAGCAGGCGACTCCAATTTGCTACAAAGGAAAAAACAGAAAGCAAAGCTGAATCACCACTCACTTTTATCCCAGAGCCACTCCTGCAACCTGTCTATAAACATGCTCTAGTCACACTTTTACTTTCCCAAGTATCGAGTGACCTATGTAAGAGGTTACTAATCACAATGCCATTTATTAAAAAGACTGGAAATAACCTAAATTTCCCATCAATAGGGGACTTGTTAAATAAACTACAGTGAAGCCATACTTACAGCCAAAAAAGGGGGGGGAGGGGGAGGGTACTTTTTTTTCTGGGTGTTCAGAGTTTTATCTGTTGTACAGAACCTATAATAAGGCCCGTTTTTTTGTTTGTTTTTGTTTTTTGGCAGGGACGGGTAACAACTTTATTGAGACATAATTCACATGTCATAAAAGTCACACCGTGAAAACATACAATTCATTAGTTTATAGTATATTCACAGAGTTATGCCACCATCACCACAGTTAACTTTAGAACATTTTGGTCACCTCCCCAAAACAAATGGTACCCCTTAGCAGTCACCTGCTGCCCCCTTCCTGCCAACCTGCCCAGCTCCAGACAACCACCAGTCTATTTCCTGTGACCACAGGTCTGGCTATGCGGGACCGTTCCTAAAAATAAAATCATACGATAGGTGATCTTTTGTGACTGGCTTCTTTCCCTGAGCATGACAGTTCAAGGTTCATCCATGTTGTAGCACGTGTCAGTAACTCCTTCCCTTTTACTGCCAAATAATATTTGACTGTATGGATATACCACTTTCACTTTTCCATTCATTATCTGGATTGCTCCCACTTTTTGCCTATTATGAGTCAAGCCGCTAAGAACATTCACATATGAGTTTTCATCTCTCTCCGGTAATGGAATTGCTGGCTCCTGAGGTAACTGTATTTAAAATTCTGAGGAAAGGTCAGCCCGTTCCCCAAAGCGGCTGAACCATTTTATATTCCCTCCAGCAGTGCAGGAGGTTCTAATTTCTGCACATCTTCACCAATACTTGTCACTGTGATTCTGACTGCAGCCATTCACACCCACATTCTAGTGGGTGTGAAGTGATAACTCAATATGGCTTTGCTTCGCATTTCCCTGATGACTAATGATGTTCAACATCTTTTCTTGTGTTTATTGGCCACTTGTGCATCTTCTTTGCAGACATGTCTATTCAGATCTTTTGTCTTTTAAAAAAATTGGATTATTTATCTTTTTAATTATTGGGTTGTAAGAGTTATTTATATACTCTAGACACAAGTACCTTGTGACATAAGTGATGGGAAAATACTTTCTCGCATTCTATAAGTTCTCTTTCCACTTTCTTGATGGAACCCTCTTGAAGCATAATAGGGTTGGGTGGGTTTTTTTTTTTAAGATTTGTTTATTTTTTTTTAAAGATTTATTTATTTGAGAGAGAGACAGAGAACAGTGGGGAAGGGCAGAGAGAGTCTTAAGCAGACTCAGTGCTGAGTATGGAGCCCAAGGTGGGGCTCAATCTCACGACCCTGAGATTGCAACCTGAGCTGAAACCAAGAGTCAGATGCTTAACTGACTGTGCCACCCAGGTGCCCCTATTTATTGTAGAGAGAGGAGAGAGAGCATGGGGGGAGACAGAGAGAGAGAGAATCTCCAGCAGACTCCATGCTGAGTGCAGAACCCGACATGGGGCTCAATCTCATGATCCTGAGATCATAACCTGAGCCGAAACCAAGAGTTGGACATTCAACCCAATGCACCACCCAGGCGCCCCTGAAGCATAACAGTTTTTCACTTTGGTGAAGTCCAACTTACCTATTTTTTCTTTGGTTATTTGTGCTTTTGGTGTCATATCGAAAAAAACCACCGCCTACTCCAAGGTATGAATTACATATTGGTAAGTTATCACCAAGGCTTACTAAAACAAAAGTGCAGAATGGTATGTAGAGTAGGCTACCATTTGTATACAAAATGTTTTTATTTAAACACATATTTGCTTACATATGTATTAAGTATCACAGAAAGGATAACAAGAAGCTGATAACACTAGTTGCCTCTGGGGAGGAGGAACTGGTTGGCTTTAGGAGGAAGAGACTTTAAACTACTTATTCTTGGGTACTTCCCGAATTTTGAATCGTCTGAGTAACTACCTAGTCACAATATAATTATATATAAAATTCATAAAATTTAAATTAAAAAAAAGATATTCAGGAGAACAGATTTCTTCTTTTCCAACGAGAAGAAAAAAATCCAATAAAAGTCGAGAGCTGTCAGACATAATCTAGTCACATGTAACCGAAAAACTAAATGGATTTCTTCTCTGATTAACTAAAATGAAATTCAGAACATCACTTCCTTAAGACAATCTGTTTCTGACATATTTTGAATGGACAGAAAATAGCAAATCATTTTGTGTGGCACAGATAAGACATGCCATGTTAATTCTGTATGAAGGAGAGGACATTTATAAAATAAGTGAGGGCTACAACACTGCATGGATTTTTTCCATCTCTTCTCTTGAGGGAAATAATAATGTAACTTTCATATTAGAAAAAAAATCTTTTCCCTCTTTTATTACTGACAACAATACATGAAATAAAAATTTTTAAGATAAAATAATAATCCTGTCACCTTACCTTATTTTAATTATTTTTATTGCACATGATTCTTTGTTTGTCCCCACAGCTGTGATCAGAATGTATACATCAGTGTCTATTCTGTTTTTCTCTGTACGTAAGTACTCAAAGTAAGTATTTTCAATGGTTGCTCACTGAGGTGATACTAATTTAATAAACTAGTCATGTACTACAGAGGCACTAAAGTTCTGTCCAGCTCTTCACTACTCTTAGTCACTCTGAACATTTTTATATGTGTTGTGTGTATGCTTTCTTTGAAGCATTTCCTAGGCTTGATTCCCAAAAACAGTGTTATGAGATCAAAGATATTTTTATGGTACTTTATACACATCCCCATATAGCTTTCCAAAAAGTATACCAATTAGAAAAACTTCCAAAAGTATATGAATGTACCTGTTTCACCATAACTTTACCAACACTGAACATTATCATTTTTGACTTTTCATAGAAATAAAAAATGACCTTAAAATGGTGATGTTTCAAAAATTACTTTTTACTTTAAGGTGATTATTAAAGCCTGTATACATAAGATCACATAAAACAAAGTCAGCTAACTTTTTCTTAAAAGGCCAGATACTAAGTATTTTAGGCTTGCAGGCCTTAAGGTCTTGTTGCGACTCTGCAGCTTTGCCTTTGTAACTCCAAAGCAGCCATAAACCATATGGAATCAAATGAGTGTGGCTGTGTTTCAATTAAAATTTTATTTATTAAAACAGCTGGCTAGCCCACGGGCCACAGTTTGCTGACCCTGATCTATAACATAGACAGCAAGATCGTTATATCATTCACAGTGGAGGTGTCTAATTAGTAGCTTGAACTCAAGTACAGAGACTATATAAGACATAGATTTGAGATAATGTGTTTCTCCCAACAGCATCACTACACAAACCCGCTTCTTTATTTAAAAGTTAATTAATGCTCACAATGTTGCCTAAAACTTAGAGGACACAAATACAGCTGTGATTAAAGCAGAAAATGCTGACTCTCCGGATATTCTGAAAGTACCGCTACCCTCATAAAATTGGTCCACCTGGAAAAAAAAGAAATCAGGGCACAGGGGTACTGTTCAAACTGTACTCCGGAGGGCCCCTTTTGGCGGCTTCTGTGTAGGCATGTCCTACTGCAGGAGAGGGAGGAGGAGAGCTTTAGTCCCTTGTTTGCCTTTATCTGCCGGACTGCTCCACTGGGCAGCTCCAACTCAGCCTGTTCAAAACTGAATGAACTACTGTCTTCCCCCAATGTCTTCAACTGCTGTTTCTACTAATGGCAATGTCATCCCCAAATCACCCAGGCTTGAGAGTCAGCCAAGAGCCTGGCACAGCAAAAGCACCCAATAAAGAGTTCATTCGTTTGTCCATAAACGCATTCCACCTTCTATCCCTCCCTCTACTCAGTCAGTCCTTCCTTCCCGACTGCCTAACAGAACTTACTTTCAGGTCTCTCAGATAATTATCCGTGTGTTCATTTGTTTGGGATCTGTCTCCCCAGCTAAAATGGAAGTTCAACAAAGGGAGTGCTCACAGATGTCCTGGGGATGATGTTGATGGCTCTATCTCTCAAGCCCATCGTGCCACTGTACACGTGACAGGCACTCAAATATTCAGATGAGCGAATGGAAGAGAGCGGGGCAAGGGACATGAGGAGAAAGGGACGAAGGCATGTTTCATGGGCTGGAAGGCATCTTGATTTAATAGACACTCAGGCCCTCTCTGGCCCACAGCAACATGACCAGTCCACGAGGAAAGCCACTTAATTACCATACGACATGCTACTGCCTTACAGACTCAGTCTTGGGACTGAGAAGGGCTTGTGTTTGTGTTCCCCTGCCACTTTGTTGTATCCCTTCTGCCCAACTTCCCACCCTGGTCCCCCTGTGGCAAGATGGAAAGTCAATCTACAAAACAAAGCACAGATAACAGCTTGGATACGAGGTCAGCTTGTAGGCCTTCTCATGATTATTCGCCTGCTCTCTGGAACCTTCCTTAACTGATCACACAGTACCGCAGGGTAGACTACTAGGAGTTTTTCCCACCTCCTAAGTTTCCATTCCGAACTGGTCTAATCAGCCGACCAACAGCCACCGCAAGTGGTGGCAGAATTTAGCAATAAAATCTGGGTTATGAACTCAACTGGGCAGCTCAGAAATTACTGGGCACCACTGTAACTCTCTCCTTAATTTACATTCACATGCCCAGAAGCCTGACTTTTCCCAAAAGTTAAGGGAAATGTAAATTCTCAACCATCGGAGTCTGGTCACAGCTAACACATGCACAAGCACACAAACTCTCCCCATTTCCTTTTTTTTTTTTTTAAAGATTTTATTTATTTGACAGAGAGAGACATAGCGAGAGAGGAAACACAAGCAAGGGGAGGGGGAGGGGGAGAGGGAGAAGCAGGCTTCCCGCGGAGCAGGGAGCCCGATGTGGTGCTCGATCCCAGGACCCTGGGATCATGACCTGAGCCAAAGGCAGACACTTAACGACTGAGCCACCCAGGTGCCCCCTCCCCATTTCCTTCTGTCCCTCTCCTGTCCTTGACCTTGACAGATAAAAACCCCTTAGAAAATCTCTAGCTAGCAACACCTGCCAATAGCATTTTACCTTCTCCAAGAAACAGAACCCCAAAGAAGCAAAATATACTAATCCCATGCTGTGAACACACTTTTTAAAACTGTATCCCTCAGAGCTCAAAGCTAAAAAAGCAAGTAAATAAAGGCTAACGTCAAGTTCGATGGAAGCAATTTTCCTATCAAATACTCTTCCAAAACTCTATGCAAAATTGCTCATTCAACCACTGCTGTCACATCCAATTAAGTTTGAATCACATTTTTATTTACACTTACCTCTGCCACTCGGTGGGTAGAACTAAAGCGAGGTGGTAAACCAGCCAAAACACAGTGTTGGTGGGTGGCATTGAGATCATCTGTAGGAAAAATACCAAAAATTAAAAAAAATAAAACCACACACACACACACACACACACACATTTATTAGTCACTATAAACTATTCAACAAAAATACAAAGTAAACAGTAAATCCATCATTCAAGGACAACAATAACCAGGGAATTAACACCGACTTTGTATTCTTTAAACCATTCTTTACAACTAGGATGACTTTTTATGTATATAAGTATACAGAGAGAGACATCAAAACCATGACACTTCTAAGAAAAAAAGGGGATGGTAATTATTCCAAGACAACAGGTGTTCAGGACTGTCTTTAGCAAACAGGATACATGGTTACCCTACTTATATGTGGTCTTATAATGCCCACTCATCATTAAGTTTACTATTTATGAGCTTCTTTCTCTTTCTCATGATACATCAAATTCTACCCATGCCTTTAGATAATAAGCCAAAAATTTTTCATACTATTTGGGGTGGAACAGCTTTCATCTGAAAATCTGCCTCTTTTTCTCCCCAAAGTATCAATTTTGCCCTAACAATTTTTCCAGGCAAAAAACCAACCAACTCAGCAGTTGCAAAGTTTTGGCACTCAGGACAGAATTCAAGCCTATGGATTCACAGCCCAAGAATGGAGTAGGTGGTGAATTCATCAGCTGAAGAATAAGCCTAAAACCACACACAGTGGAAGAAAAACCAAAGGCCAAGTTGTTGCATATTCTAAGAAATGATGCCACATGTCAGGCAAAATCTCTATCACCTCTGCTTAGGACATCACTTTCTCTATTACAAAGAAGAGAATGGAAGGAACAGTACTATTCCCCGGCACTGGGTGATTTCCTACATAAATAACAGAGGCTTCTTACCAAGATACCAACACTCATAATGATTTAAACTAAAAGGCAAAACCACCACACCCCTTACAGGGCAGCAAAATTAACTTCTAAACAAAATAATGGAAATGCAAAATGTCAACTGAAGGTCTCCTGCTTCTGGACATTCCGGAGTACCAGTGACAAGGTTTGCCCTCCTACCTTAAACAACTATAAAAATGGACCAAAAAATAGGAAACAAATATTTCTGACACTGGAAAAGAGAGCAAGATACAATCCCAAAGACAGAAAAACAAAACAGGGGAGGCCTGAAATTGCCCTAGCTTACAACCTGGAACAGTGTCAAGGCCAGAGTAGAGGGGGGTGGGAGGGAGTCAGACAGAACCCAGAGTTTTCAGTTTTCCTTCTTGCGGAATTATGAAGACAGAGACTGGAGTTTAGGAAAGCCAGGCAACAAGGATTGTAAGAGAATACTGGAATAAGAGAACCCGTACCAAGAGAAAACAAGCAGACATCCACTAGAAGGGTTCCTTCCAAGTCTATGGCTGAGCACTAACCTGTGCAGGTGGGAATGAAAACTTCCCAAGGGCAGGAAAAGAAGCACCAGCAAATAGGCTGAACAAATCTCAGAGCTCACACAGGGCTGGGGATATTTGGTGTTCTCAGCAGTCAGAATGGCTCCTACTACATGAGATAATGGATAGAGTCCTTGGAAAAGCATCATCTTAGTAGTAGAGCTAAACTAGTTCTACATCAAAGGCTGCCCTAGATCCACGTAATAGCTTAAAAGCAAGCCTCAAAAGTACCAAGTTATTCCAAATAGTTTAACTAGTCATTAGAGCAAAGTCCGACACTATTCAAAAGAATTTAACACAATCAGATACCCAATAAAATTCACAATATCGAGCATCCACTTGAGAAGTGACAGAGAAGAGGGGTGCCTGGCTGGGTCAGTTGGCAGAGCTTATAACTCTTGATCTCAGGGTTATAAGCTTGAGCTCCATGTTGGGTATAGAGATCACTTAAAAATGAAATCTCATAACGGCACCTGGGTGGTTCAGTCAGTTAAGTGTCCAGGTCTTAGTTTCGGCCAGGTCACGATCGTGGGATCAAGCCCCACGTCAGGCTCCATACTCAGTGGGGAGTCCACTTCTCTCCCTCTCCTTCTGACCCTCCCCCTGCTCGTGCTCTCTCTCTTTCTCCCCCTCCCTCTCAAAAATAAATCTTTTAAAAAAGTAAAATCTGGGGCACCTGGGAGACTTAGTCGGTTAAATGTCTGCCTTCAGCTCAGGTCATGATCCCAGGGTCCTGGGATCGAGGACTACGTCGGGCTCCCTGCCCAGCGGGAAGCCTGCTTCTCCCTCTCCTCCCCACTTGTGCTCTCTACCATTCTCTCTGTTGCTCTCTCAAATAAATAACTAAGACCTTTAAATAAAAAATAAAATCTTATAAAAAACATAATGGAGAAGAGAAATGAAAGATATATATGACATATACGATATATGATACATATATATAAGATGTATACATATCTTTCACATATACATCTTTTATACATATAAATAAAGGAAGCTTCTAAAGATGAAAAATGTATCTGAAATTTAAAAAATCACACTGAATGAGATTAATAGCACTTTAGACACTGCAGAAAAATCAGTGAACTAGAATACATAAAAATAGAAACTACCCAAAAATGAAGCACACAGAGAAATAAAGACTACAGATAAATCAAAGGGCATCAATGACCTATTAGATACTACTGATCAGTGTAACATAAATATAATTTGATTCTCAGAAGAAAAAGAATGACACAGGTGGGCACCCGGGTGGCTCAGTCAGTTAAGCATCTAACTCTTGGTTTTAGCTCAGGTCATGATCTCATGGTTCGTGGGATCAGCCCTGAGTCAGTCTCTGTGCTCAGTGTGGAGTCTGCTTCGGATTCTCTCTCTCCTCTTCCTTTGCCCATCCCCCGCTCCCCCATGCATGTGCACTCTCTCTCAAATAAATAAATAAATCTTTAAAAATAAAAATGAGGGAGATTGACAGAAAATAAATATCTGAAGAAATGATGTCCAAAGAGAAAAATCGGAACAAAGAACAAGGGCAACAAATAGCAAACATTAACATATAAGGTAGCTATTAAACCAATTATATCAATAATCACTTTTAATGTCAGAGGAGTGACTACACCAATTAAAAGACAGAGATTGTCAGAGTGGATGAAAAAACAAAACGCAACTAAAAAAAAAAAAAACCACAACTATATGTTGTCTACAAGAAATTCACTACTATAAAGTCACATATAAATTAAAAATAAAGGTGTGGAGAAAGATATTCTGTGCTAACACTAATCAAAACAAAGCTGGAGTACCTATATGAATTTCAGACAGAGTGGACTTCAAAACAAGGAAATTACCAAGGATAAAAAGGAGAGTACGTAATGATAAAAAGTCAATCCTCTATGAAGATATCACAATCCTTAATGTGTATGTACCTTATAAGAAAGTCAAATCACATGAAGCAAAATCTAACAGAACAGCAAGGAGAAGTAGACAAATCCACTATTATAGTTGGAGACTTCAACATCTCCTATCAGAAACGGACAGATCCATTAGGCAGAGAATGAATAAGGACACAGTTGAACTCAAGAATACCATCAATCAACTGGAAATAACTGAAATCTACAGACTACTTCATACAACAAGAGCTGAATACACATTCTTCTCAAGCTCATATGGAACACTCACCAAGACAGACCATATTCTGGGACCAACAAAAATGTCAAAGAATAGAAATCATACAATGTCTGCTCTCAGACCATACAGGAAATAAACTAGAAATCAGTAACAGAAAGACAGCTAAAATATCTCAAAATACTTAAGAGACTAAACAACTTCTAAATACCATGGTGAAAGAAGAAATATCAAGAGAAATTTTAAAGTATTTTTAACTAAATGAAAATGAAAATACAACATCAAAATTTGTGAGATGCAGCCAAAAAGCACTTTGAAGAGTAAAAATTAACACACTACATATATTACAAAGGAAAGATCTAAACTCCACAATACAAGCTTCAACCTTACAAAATTAGAAAAAGGAGAGCAAATTAAATCTAAAAGAAAAAGAAAAAAATAATAATTAGAACAGAAATCAATGAAATGAAAAACAGAAAATCAACAGAGAAAGTCAATAAAACAAAGCTGGTTCTCTGAAAAGACCAATAAAATCAATAAGCGCCTATCTAGGCTAAGAAAAAAAATAGGAAAAACACAAATTACTAATACCAGAAATAAAAAAAACTCACTAAGTATAGCTGGCTCTACACTCCTGATTTACATACTCTTTTGTATTATGTTATACTTCAATAAAAATAAAGTTTAATGTAAAAAAAAAAAGGGAACATCACTACAGATCCTATGGATATTAAAAGGCAAATAAAGTAAAACTTTCAACAGCTCTATGCCTACAAATCTGTAGGCAAGACATAATGTAGATGAAATGGACCAATTCTTGGGGTGCCTGCGTGGCTCAGTTGGTTAAGCATCTGCCTTCAGTTCAGGTCATGAGATCCCAGGATCCTGGGATAGAGCCCCGCATTTGGGCTCCCTGCTTAGCAGGGAGTCTGCTTCTCCCTCTGCCCCTCCCCACTGCTCATGCTCTCTCTCACTCTCTCAAATAAATAAATAAAATTAAAAAAAAAGAAAGAAAAAATGGACCAATTCTTTGCTCAATCTGCCAACAGATAATCTAAATAGGCCTATGTGTACTGAAGAAATTGAATCAAAATTAACTACCTTCACAAACAGAAAGCACCAGGCCCAGATGGGTTCACTGGTGAATTCTTTTTGTTTTTTAATTATGTTCAATTAGCCAACATATAATACCAACCATTTAAGGAGGAAATTATACCCATTCTTTAAAAACTCTTCCAGAAGAAAAAAGTGGAAGGAAGACTTCCTAATTCACTCTATGAGACCAGCAATACCCTAATAGAAAAACCAGACAAATGTATTACAAGAAAAGAAAACTACAAATTAATATCTCTTAAGAACATGAATGCCAAAATACTCAACAAAATATTAGAAACAGAAACCAACAACATATATTTTATATACTTTTTTATACATCTTAGAGACTTACATGCAACAAACAAGTGAAACTTATCCAGGTATGCAAGGCTGGCT